GGTGGGTTTGAACTACCAAACTTTCAGTTAGCAGTCAACTGTCTAACCACTGCACCACTAGGGCTCCTTCCATCTCCCCAGTAACTCCAAACTAGAGAGCTCTTTGTAGAGTCATGGCGCACACAGCCTAGGCACAGACTGTGTCTTCGGTGGAAGTTTGTTCAATGAACTAGAAATAGAAGCATGAGAGATAGCATTTCTACACACACCCACGTTCACCACATACAGTGCCAGGAGACTCAATGACAATGCTTGTGGGAACTCTTCTCCGTTATTGGATAGCCTGGGTCTCAGAGTCGGTTTAGGTTCTAATCGACTTGAGAGATCCAAGACAACATTTTCTTACCCATTAAACTCCTCAATGACTAATTTGCATCATAAACTGCATCCACAGGATACCACTGTAGACTCCGGCTAGCTCTGGCCTGGCCAGTCTGAGTGTCATTGTTGGCCACTGGTCTGTGAACTTGAAGAGGCCTCCATGCTGGGCATCCCGTGGCCGGTTAGTTTAGTGACTGTGTTAGCCAGTTTGTGATTTTCAGTTTCATAGAGATACGATTCACATACCACATGATTCACCCACTTAAAGCGCACAGTGCAGTGGTGTTTCGTATATCCACAGGGTTGTGTCATAATCACAACTTTAGAGCGTTTTAATACCTTTGGGGAAGACCCCCTCCTCATTAACAGTCACTGTCATCTCCCCTAGACTGCCCCGCCCCAGGCAAGTATGAACCCACTTTCTGTCTCTGTTCTTCGTGTGAGTGGAGTTGTACCATTCATGGTCCTTTGTGACCGGCTCCTCTCGCTTAGTGCAATGTTCCCAAGGTTTGTCCATTCCTTTTGACAGCTAATAATATTCCGTCTTATGGATCTACACAGCTGATCGACCCATTCCTCCGCTGGTGGGGATTTGTGTTGTTACCGTGTTCAGCTGTTAGGAATAATACTGCTGTGGAGACTCATGTCAGAGTTGTCGTGTGGACATGTTTCCAGTTCTCTTGGGTATGTGCTAGGAATGGAACTGCTGCACATGCGGCACCTCTGTTTAACCCTTTCAGGAATTCCCAGACTGCTTTCCACGGCGGCTGCATCATTTCACATCCCTACCAGCAACCTACGGGGGTTCCAGTTTCTCCACATCCTCGCCAACACCTGTCCTTATCTGATTTTTGGTGATAGCCATCCCAGTGGGGTTGAACTAATATCTCATTGTGGTTTTGATTTGCATTTCCCTGATGACAGATAAGGAGCCCTGGTGGTGCAGTCGTTAAATGCTCGGCTGCTAACCAAAAGGTCCATCAGTTCAAACCCAGCAGCCACTCTGCAGGAGAAAGATGTGGCAGTTAGCTTCCCAAAAGATCACAGCCTTGGAAACCCCATGGTGCAGTTTTACTGCCTTGTAGGGTCACTATGAATCAGAATTGACTCATTGTCATGAGGTGTTTTTTTCTTTTTTTAAATGACTAATGACATTGAGGTTCTTTTCATGTACTTATTGGCCATTTATAAGGAGCTCTGATGGCATAGTGGGTAAGACATTTGGCTGCTAACCAGAAGGTCAGCTGTTCAAACCCACCAGCAGCTGCATGGGAGGCAGATGAGGCAGTCTACTTCTGTAAAGATTTACAACTTTAGAAACCCAGTGATGGTCACTATGAGTCAGATCAACTCAGTGGCAGTGGGTTTTTGTTTTAATTTTTTATTGGCCATTTGTATATCTTCTTTGAAGAAAAGTCTATTCAAATCTTTTGCCCATTTTAAAAATTGGGTTCTTTGTCTTTTTATTGTTGAGTTGTGATAGCTCTCTCTATATGTTCTGGAGAAACTCTGGTGCTGTAGTGCCTAAGGCAGTTGACTGCTAACCAAAAGGTTGGCAGTTCAAATCCACCAGCCACTCCTCTGAAGGAAGGTTGGACAATCTACTTCCGTAGTGATACCGCCTCGGAAACCCAAGGAGGGGTCGCTGTGAGTTGGGTCCGACTCCACAGCAATGAGTTTGGTTTTTTTGGTATATGTTCTAGATGCAAGTCCCTTATCAGATAGATGACCTGCAGAATTTTTCTCCCGTTCTGTGGGTTGTCCTTTCACCTTCTTGATGGTGCGCTCTGAAGTGCAGAAGTTCTCAAGCTCAGTGAAGGCCGATGTACCTACTTGTCCTTTCATTCCTAGTGCTTCAGGTGGCACGTCTAAGAGAACTTCGTCTGACCTAGACCTTGAAGGTGATGCCCTTTTTTTCTTCCAGGAGTTTTAGATCTTAGCTCTTCCATTTAGGTCTTCAATCCTCTCCAGTCGATTTTTGCAGACAATGGAAGTCATATGCCATTTTCGAAAACAAGTTCAAATAAGTAATCAGAAGTTTAGAAAGATATTGTTGTCTTTGCTTTCCATTACCAATCATGAGCTAGTTCACTGAGTGGTGAGCGTGCTGCACTGCTAAGCAAAAGGTTGGAAGTTCAAGTCCACCAGACTGCCTTGGAGGACAGGCCTGGTGAGCTGCCTTCAATAGGCTTCAGCTTCTAATGAGGCTGATATTCTCAATATGGATTTCAAAACTCTGATAAACTAAGAATTGTTAGAAAAGGCTTTTGATGTTTTTATGTTTTAAACAACTACTTCCAATAAATATTTAAATAAATAAAACCATGTTTTGACAGGTTATGTAAGTAATATGTTTGAAATACATGACCAAACAAACAAAGAAGCAAGCAAAACTCATTGCTGTGGAGTCAGACTTGACTCAGCGACCCTTCCTTGGGTTTCTGAGGCAGTATCACTACAGAAGTAGATTGCCCAACCTTCCTTCTGAGGAGTGGCTGGTGGGTTTGAACCGCCAGCCTTCTGGTTAGCACTCCGATGCCTTAGGCACTGCGCCACCAGAGCTCCTGAAATACATGACAGACATCTTTATTCCCATATTAAAATTATACAGAATGTAGTTTAACACAGTAGTTGTCAAATGGGAGACAATTTTGTCCCCCAGTGGACATTTGGCAATGTCTGGAGACATTTTTGTTGTCGCCCTGGGGAATGGCTACTTGCATGTAGAGGGTAGCGCCCAGGGATGCTCCTAGCCAGCCTGCAGTAAACGGGCTCACTCCCCACCATGAAGAATGAACCAAGGGTTCTGTAGCCCCGAACGTCCAGCGTGCTGAGGCTGAGGAGCCCTGCATTAAGTCACTGGTCACAATCAGACAGAAGAAAGGCAAGAGCGTACCAGCCCTCCTCACCCCCCAGGACCAACCCCATGGATTTTTCCCATCATGACGCTGAGCCTCTCGGGGCCCGGAATGTGCCCCAGTGAAGCCAGTGGAGCGGTTGCCGTCGAGTCAGCTCTGATTCAGGGACACCCGTGTGTGTCAGAGAAGGGATTTTTGCATGTAGCTCACCAGGCCTGTCTTCCAAGTCTGGTGGACTTGAACTTGCAACGTTCTGGTTAGCAGTTGAGCACGTTAACCACTCGGGGACTTCGTCTTCACAGACTGCTCTCATTCTCCTCTCGGAGAGGACTCTCGGGGAAGGATTGGGCGCGTGTGAGAGACTACAGAGGTGGATCTGACGGTATAGAGGGATCTTCTCCAGTGGAGGCAGTGGGGGCTACAGCAAGAACTTGGGGGAGGTTCAGCCCGGTCTGCCCTCCAGGTATCCTCTGAACCTCTCCAAGCGAAGAGTAATAATTAGAAATGAAGGTTACCCCCAAGTCTGTACAAAGACTTTGATTTTCCATATTTGCCCCTGAAACTCCCTGGGCAAGTCTCCCCTTGCTCTGGGCCTCAGTTTCTCCTAAAGGCCAAGGAGGGGTGCGCTGGTGGATTTCTAAGGCTCTTTGCAGCTATAAACGTCTTTGAATCTCTAGGGCACTAGAGCAGAGATAAAGTGAAGCCCATGTGATTCAAATATACCCTAATTAGGACGCTGCTTCTGTAGTGAGCCCACGAGAAGCCTGCCCATGTTTGAAGAAGAGATGCAGGTATTGGTTGATGCTGTCTTTCTTGGGAGACCCATTGCCAGGGGTGACGTTCAAAATATTTAGCAACCGGCACAGCTGAGCAGGGACCGGTCAGGAGGGGCGGCAGCCAGGAGCAGCACTTGCAGCCTAAATATATGCCTTGCCCACCCCGCAGTTCTACTCAGCCCTCTCTCCTGACTATTTTATTCATTTATTTTTCTTTCTCTGCTCCTTCCTCCCTGATTCTGCATTCAGGACTCTCACTGACTCTGGTATCTTCCCCCTCCACCCATCTCACACACAATTGCTGTAAAAATCTCCACGCATCCACACACCAACTTCATAGCACTTCTCACTCAGCAGGTGCTTTTTGAAGGCCCCTCTGTGCTCAGCACGGAGTCAGCTGCCTTCAGAAAGATAGAGATAGATGAAGAGACCTGAGTCCTACCCTAGCTCTGCCACTTACCTGCTGGGTGACTCTCAGTTCTCCAGTGCTGCTGTAACACAAATACAACAAGGGGGTGGCTTTAACAAACGGAAATTTATTTTCTCACAGTTGGGAGGCTGGAAGTCTGAATGCAGGGTGTGGCTATAGGGGAAGCCTTCCTCTCTCTGTTGCCTCTGGGGCGAGGTCCCTGTCTCAGCTTCTGCTGCTGGGGGATCTTCAGGTGGCTCGGTGTCTCGTCCCCCCTCTTGTCCCCCATCTCTGCTTGCTAGCTTGAGTTTAATCTCTTTTATATCTCAACAAAGGTTAACTCAGGACACACCTGACACTAATCTTGCTTAATTAACATAACAAAGAAACCCATTTCCAAATGGGATTATAACCACAGCCATGCAGTTAAGATTGTAACACATAATTTGGGGGACACAATTCAATCCACAGCAGTGACCTTAGGCGGGTCTCTGCCCCTCTCTGGGTCAGATTCCTCGCATGTAAGAAGTGGCACTTGGATAACTGAGTGAGAGCTCTGAGGTCCCGGTTGTTCAATGACAGTTTCTACCGCAACACAAGTCTTCCGCAGCTCACCGCTCTCTCTCTCTCCCGCAGAACGCACTGCTGCCCGCAGGCCTGAGGCAGAAGGATCAGACGACCAAGGCGCCCACAGGCCCCTTTAAAAGGGAGGAACTCTTGGATCACTTGGAAAAGCAAGCAAAGGAGTTTAAGGACCGAGAAGATCTCGTCCCCTACACAGGGGAGAAACGAGGTATCGCTCAGGGTTGCTTTCGTTAACAAATACGGTAAGACCTGCGAAAGCCGGAACCTGTGTGAGGCAGAAACCTGGCAGAAAAGGAAAACGAAAGTATTGTCCACTAAAATGAGCCACAGAGAAGGGGTCAGACTGCATCCTGTCAAAAGCGGAAAACTTACCAGACCCGGAAAAACAAGGCCATCCTGTTGAGTTCTGGCTTTCACGGTTGCGCTGTAGCTTAGTCCCTGTGCGTTCCCTGAGTGCCAGCTGTATGCCAAGCCCCTGTTGGGGGCCAGATGTGACTGGTCCTCCTTGCCCTCACCCCTGCCTGGCCAAAGCACACAAACTCAACTCCAAAAGCACCAGTGCACATGTAAATTTAGAAAAGATTTTGAGAGACTGAGGAGAGAGTTGTAGCCCCCCAGACCAGTGATCGGAAACCAAAATCTCCTTTAACTGGAGTGTCCTGGTTATATTTTGTGTAAACTTAGACGCATGTGAGAGAGAAAGAGCCATATCGAGATCCCACTGCCGTGGAGTGGATTCCAACTCACAGC